AACACACACACACACACACACACACACACACACACACAGAGGTTAATGACTGTCGCCAGACTGTGCTGAAAAATACAGACATATAGATTTTTTGTGTGTGTGGAAATCATGATTCTTTAAAGTGCCCCTATTATGGGTAATGAAAGGTTCATATTTTGGTTTTGGGAGTCCCCAACAACAGGTTGACATGCATGCAAGGTCAAAAAACACTTTCATTTTCTTATAATATGCATTTATTTTTACCTTATTTCCTCAATGACTCCCAAACGATTCGCTCAACAATTAATTTTTCCATACCCCTCCTTTGCGTGACGCTAATCTGCGGTGATTGGTCTGATTAGTCTCATTTTAATGTCATCTGGCCTGTAAAGCCTGATAAAGCAGCGTTTGTGAGCGCAGTGCTGCTTTGTGTACAGCGTTACCGGGGAAACCGCTATTTTTACCGCTCCAAAAGCGGCACCTAGTGGCAAAGAATGAATTTGCATTTTCATTCAGACCAATGCGAAATTCAAGTCCACTTCCGAGGGAACTTCGAACTGCGTCTTCTAGGGGTCACTATGGGGAACGCCTTCAGCGTGACTGGTGTCTGAAGCATACATCTAAAAACGACAATAACATTGGCCGGCGACAGCCTATGACGTCATTTTACCCAGCGCGACCACAGTATAAAAGGGCACCGGGATAACACGTCATCCTCTTCTTCATCTTGACGACTGTTTTGTTTGAAGCGTGTATTCCGGTAAGAGAACGTATCTCTCCTCTTTAAACCATGGCGAGCACTAGTAAGGCGTTTAAGAAGTGTGTGAATCTGTGTCCTCGTTATTTGACACCTGATGATACACACGATCTTTGCATCTTTTGTTTGGGGGAAGAGCACGCGCACGATGTCCTCGAGAGGACAATCTGCGTTCATTGTGAGCGTTTTTCAATGAAAAAGCTCCGCTCTTGTTTGTCCCTCTTTTCGAGGAAAGAAGGACAGACATCAGCTCCCCGCGGTTCAGGACCCGCCGCTGCTGAGGCACGGAGGAAAATGAGCTTGTGGGGATCGCAGGTGGACCTGGCTGATGAGTTGAGAGAGGGTCTTTCCGTTTCGCGCTCGTCAGTTGTGGACGAGAGTGAGCTGCTGGATGACGATGCTATTTCTCTTACATCATCTGATCTAGCGGCTAGTGCTCTGCTGGCTCCAAGCCAGGAAGAGCAGATGTCAGATGAGGTTGAGACTGAATCCTCTCATTCCTCCTGCTCTGCGTGAGCTGAGTTGCTTGAGGTTATGGATCCCGCCATGGCGAGGCTTGACTTGCCGTGGAAGCGGGTTGAGAAAGTGGCGCCTCGAGGCCACCGCGATGAGCGTTATCTTTCTGATCATAACCCTCTAGCTCAAGTGAGCCTTCCTGATCTCCATGTGGGGATCGAGAAGGCTTGGAAAACTCTGTTTTCATTTAGCATCCATAGGTTTACAGTATACTAGTTATGCCGATATTGAGCAGATGACTGAGAACAGTTATGAGAAGATGCCCCCTATTGAAGAGATGCTAGCCAGTTATCTCTCTGTGGGTGAGACATCTTCCCTTAAGGCTCCTTCCCTGCCATCCAAACCTCTTCGAGATACATTTAGTTTGAATGGCAGGGCGTACGCAGCAGCAGGTCAGGCTGCAGCTTCGTTGCACACCATGGTGGTGCTTCAGGCTTGTCAGGCCTGAATCTCGATCTAAGGGGCAGAGGCAGGCACAGAAGACTTGTGTTGTGAAAGGGTAACAGGCAGGATTTGAGGGAGGTGATCCAGACGAGGCGTTCTCAGCGCTCTCGTTCGGAGCAGGAGTATAAAAGGGTGCCAATAGAACACGTCATCCTCTTCGTCTTCAGGGACTGTTTTGTTTGAAGCGTGCATTCTGGTAAGAATGCTGTTCTTTCTACTACACTATGGTGAGCACTAGTAAGATGCTTATGAAGTGTGCGGATCCGTGTCCTCGTTATTTGACACTTGATGACACACACAATCTTTGCGTCTTATGTTTGGGCGAAGAGCACGCATGCGATGTCCTCAAGGGGGCAATCTGCATTCATTGTGAGCATTTTTCAATGACAAAGCTCCGCTTTCGTTTGTCTCTCCTCTCTAAGTGGCTTAGGACCCGCCGCTGATGAGGCACGGAGGAGAATGAGGTTGTGGGATTCTCAGGTAGACCTGGCTGATGAGCTAAAGAGGGATCTTTCTCTTTCACGGTCGTCAGCTCAGAGGATGTGAGAAATCTCTCTCACATTCTCTGATCCAGTGGCTAGTGCTCTGCTGGCTTCTGGTAAGGAAAAGCAGGAGATTGCTGATGAGGACAAAGAAGTTAAGACTGAGTCCTCTCAGCCCTCCTGCCCTGCATATGCTGAGCTATTGGAGGTTATGGAACGTGCCACGGCGAGGCTTGCCGTGGAGGCGGGTCAAGAAGGAAACTGTTCGGGTCCGTTTGGACAAGTGTTACCTCTCTGATCATAACTCTCCAGCTCAAGTGAGCCTTCCATTCCTTCCTGATCTCCATGTGGGGATCGAGAAGGCTTGGAAAACTCTGTTTTCATTTAGCATCCATAGGTTTACAGTATACTAGTTATGCCGATATTGAGCAGATGACTGAGAACAGTTATGAGAAGATGCCCCCTATTGAAGAGATGCTAGCCAGTTATCTCTCTGTGGGTGAGACAACTTCTCTTAAGGCTCCCTCCCTGCCATCCAAACCCCTTCGAGATACATTTCGTTTGAATGGCAGGGCGTACGCAGCAACAGGTCAGGCTGCAGCTGTCGGAAAACCTGGATAAAGGCCAGGGTTTATCCCCTGATGAGATGGCTGAGTTGCGTCGCACCACAGATCTCTGTGCCACTAAGCAGACCGCCACTGCCATTGGCAGATCTATGGAGGCCATGGTGGTTACGGAGAGGAATCTGGCAGATATCGGGACGAGAGAAAAGGACTTTCTCCTTGATGCGCCAGTTTCCCCTTCTGAGCTTTTCGGCACTTCCGTCGAGACGGTGGTCGAGAAGTTTAAGGAGGCCAAGACGCGCTCAGCTGCCTTTAAATCCTTCATTCCACGAAGGTCCAGGTCTGAGCCCGAACAACAGAGGTGTCCTGGCCCGTCTCGATCTAAGGGTCAGAGGCGGGCACAGAAGACTAGTGTCGCGAATGAGTCAAAGGGTTACAGGCAAGATTTGAGGGAGGTGATCCAGACAGATCTCAGCACTCTCGTCCAGACTAGGGTAAAACCTGAGCATCGTCTCACCTCCCTCCGAGAGTTTTTACATCTGCTCTCATCTTCCTCCCCTTAATTCCCCTGAAGCCACCATCCCCTCCACCTGACCGAGGTTAGGTAGGAGCCTCCTGCTCTTGCAATACAGCATCTCATGCTGGACCTATGATGTTTTGGTTAGTTTCTATGTCCCATAGAACTACCTACTTATGGTCCGGACCCAAGTGCTCTTCGGGCTTCGCATTTTTCGGAGTATAATGCTTCGTGATGTGCTCCCTGATGTCCTGGCTGGGTGTTTGCTTCGAGAAGCTGCCCCGGCCAGGACGCGCTACTCAGGTCTCCTGAGATTTGAGTCATCCTCTCAACCATCATGCACATTCTCTGAGCTAGAGCTCCTCTCGCTGAGGCGTTGAGTGGCCTAACACTCCTTAGTTCCACTCTGCAGTTCGATAGACGGTCAGGTCCACGGGACCTCCCTGTCACACTGCCCTTATGGTCGAACCGGTGAATCGCCCCTCTGCGGAGTGGGCTTGAGTACACTGCGTTCCCTGAGGTATGAGTGAGATGTGTTTCTGCGGAAACCCTTCCTGAGTGCTTCGGCTCTGAGGAGCAGTAGCTCTTCATGCATGAATGGGTTAATGGGTCCCGCTGTTTCTCAGGTTCTCTTCGGGTATGGTTAAATGGGACCCATGCTCTCTTTTGAGATAAAGAGCATAAGACTGTGTTCAGCTGCATCAGTTGATGGTCTCTCTTTGGGCCCTGCTAGACTGCCCTTCTAATCTAGCTCTGCCTTCTGGTTGAGCTGAGAAATGCTCCCCTCATTGCGAGGGTTAGCTATGAGCCTATTGCTCCCAGTTTGTGCTTCGAGGGCCCTCCTCAGATTGAGAGCCGAGAGCGCTGCTCCTGAAAACTCCATATGCAACAATACTGAGTTGTTAGGCCCATCCTGTCGCCTCCTTGGTCAGTTGCCTCTATGCTGGGACCCTGTTGTTCTCTGTTGACATGTGCAAAAGATTATGTGAGTCCTTCTCTGTACCTGAGAGTTAGGTACTTTGCCCCTGGGCTATTGATCGCTTCAGTTGAGCTGGGTTCCTCTCCCTTAGCTAAGGGTCGAGCCCTCTGCTCTTTGAGTTCTGTGACAGCAACATCAGGTAGTTTGGCCGCTTGCTGCCTCCCTGATTAGTTGCCCCTATTTGGTCGAGCCTAGCAGTGCTCCCCTCACCTCGGAGGGTTACCTTTGAGCATGCCACTCCCAATTGAGCGTCTGAGGCCTCCTCTCATCAGGTCCTATGCTTTGGAGCCCCATTGAGCAGCAGCATCAGGTTGTTAGGCCTCTCTCTGCCTCCCTGTTAGGCTGCTCTCTTTGTTGCTCCCCTCACTCCAGAGGGTTACCTTTGAGCATGCCGCTCCCAATTGAGCGTCTGAGGCCTCCTCTCATCAGGTCCTACACTTTGCAGCTCCATTGAGCAGCAGCCTTAGGTTGTTAGGCCTCTCTCTGCCTCCCTGTTAGGCTGCTCTCTTTGTTGGTTGTGCTTAGCAGTGCTCCACCCTGAGCTTCTGCGCACTTTCTAAAATCCACATTGTGGTAAGCGTGCACGCTAGGCATTCTGTGCACTTTCTAAAATCCTGTATGGTAAGGCTTATGCACTGTCAGCCTCGTTTCCTTTCTCGGAGTTGGTTAGGCCCCGGTTTTCACCTTAGGCTCCACTCAACCTATATATCCCTGTTGATATACATTTCTGAGCGGGGGGTTGCTACCAAAGCTCTGTCGAGTCAGTTCTTTGAGCAAGCTCATTCAAAGCGGCAGTAGCCCCCTGGGTGACAGGCCAGGGTCTGGTCTTTAGACACCTGGCCGTATCCTGATTTTACAATTTCAAAAAAACTCATTCTGTATGATTTATAAGCTTCTGTACCCATGGGGACCTCGATTTAGGTCCCCACGGTGACACAAGTCCGCATGAGTCTGTGTGTATTCAGGGCCACCACCAGTGTAGAAAAACTTGTACACACACACACACACACACACACACACACACACACACGCAGTGGTCAGTTTTTTCTCTGTCTCTATAATGAGCTCTGTGCTGACTGTGCTGATTAGAGCTCTTTGAACAGAAAACAATGTGTTTGAAAGGGCCGAGGGGCATCTGTCCTCAGAGACACTAAGTGTGTGTGTGTGTGTGTGTGCGCGTGTGTGTGTGTGTGTGTAAAACATTCTTTCCATTACATGACGGAAAGTGAGCGAGTAACACATCATGTTTGTGCCCGTCCTGAGAGACCAACACACACACACACACACACTCATGCACACAGACAGATCTGAGATCTGTGTGTGTTTATGGGTGAATCTCACAACAAATATCAAGACAAAAATGATGGCAGTTTACAGCTGGAGACTGAGACTCAATAAATGCGTCTCATCTCGCTTTCAGGTTTAAGCTAAAAGCATCATTTTCTCTGTCTCTATAATGAGCTCTGTGCTGATTTCTATTCTTAGAGCTCTTTGAACAGAAAACAATGTGTTTGAAAGGGCCGAGGGGCATCTGTCCTCAGAGACACTAAGTGTGTGTGTGTGTGTGTGTGCGCGTGTGTGTGTGTGTGTGTAAAACATTCTTTCCATTACATGACGGAAAGTGAGCGAGTAACACATCATGTTTGTGCCCGTCCTGAGAGACCAACACACACACACACACACACTCATGCACACAGACAGATCTGAGATCTGTGTGTGTTTATGGGTGAATCTCACAACAAATATCAAGACAAAAATGATGGCAGTTTACAGCTGGAGACTGAGACTCAATAAATGCGTCTCATCTCGCTTTCAGGTTTAAACTAAAAGCATCAGTTTATACTAGGCCTGGCCTTGACCCCTGACCTGACCTCTGACCTCTGGAGGGAGTTAACCCTACATCAGCCTCGTATAGCAGCAACGACTTCACATGCATTTACATTTCAGAAGATGTCAAACACACACACATACACACACACTAAACACTCTCACACGCACACACACACACACACACACACACACTAAACACTCTCTCACACACTCATAAACACACACACAGACATAAACTCTCACACACAGTCGGTCTGACCTGGAACAGAGTGACATTCGGCTCGTCTAGGATGGTTTTGGGAGGCACAACAACTAGAAAACAAAAAAACACTCTAATAAAACACACATCAGTGAGTGTGTGCGTGTGTGTTATTTACTCTCCTCTGTGTGCGTTTGTGTGTGTGTGTGCGTGCGTGTGTGTTATTTACTCTCCTCTGTGTGCGTTTGTGTGTGTGTGTGCGTGCGTGTGAAACTCACACAGGTAAAACTGCATTTGTGGGTCCTGCAGGTAAGATTGGATAAAACTCCTCAGAGCAGCCACTGAAAAACAGAGAAACATCATGCTAACATCTGCAGTCTCATGTTAAGACACTATATATATATATAAATATATATATATATATATACACACACAACAAAATATAACAACACAAAATAAGGAAAAATAAAAACAATAAAATACAAACAATATTTAATAAATATTTTCTGTTACCTGTTTCTAGAGGTCTGAAGAAGCCCTGAAGAACGTGGCGGTCAGGAAACTGGACCCTCAGCGCCACCTGATGAACACAGTGACGAATCAACTGAGTGAATCCAGTCACATGACCGATCACATGATCAGACTCACCTTCGGATACCTGTCCAACTTCTCCTTCATCTGAGACTCTCGCAGAGATTTAGTCACGAGAGGAGCTTCCTCCAGCGCCTTCCTGAAGCACACCGAGACGAATCTCATGATGAAACAACACAGGCAGTGGTAAGTTTTTTCTCTGTCTCTATAATGAGCTCTGTGCTGATTTCTATTCTTAGAGCTCTTTGAACAGAAAACAATGTGTTTGAAAGGGCCGAGGGGCATCTGTCCTCAGAGACACTAAGTGTGTGTGTGTGTGTGTGTGCGCGTGTGTGTGTGTGTGTGTAAAACATTCTTTCCATTACATGACGGAAAGTGAGCGAGTAACACATCATGTTTGTGCCCGTCCTGAGAGACCAACACACACACACACACACACTCATGCACACAGACAGATCTGAGATCTGTGTGTGTTTATGGGTGAATCTCACAACAAATATCAAGACAAAAATGATGGCAGTTTACAGCTGGAGACTGAGACTCAATAAATGCGTCTCATCTCGCTTTCAGGTTTAAACTAAAAGCATCAGTTTATACTAGGCCTGGCCTTGACCCCTGACCTGACCTCTGACCTCTGGAGGGAGTTAACCCTACATCAGCCTCGTATAGCAGCAACGACTTCACATGCATTTACATTTCAGAAGATGTCAAACACACACACATACACACACACTAAACACTCTCACACGCACACACACACACACACACACACACACTAAACACTCTCTCACACACTCATAAACACACACACAGACATAAACTCTCACACACAGTCGGTCTGACCTGGAACAGAGTGACATTCGGCTCGTCTAGGATGGTTTTGGGAGGCACAACAACTAGAAAACAAAAAAACACTCTAATAAAACACACATCAGTGAGTGTGTGCGTGTGTGTTATTTACTCTCCTCTGTGTGCGTTTGTGTGTGTGTGTGCGTGCGTGTGAAACTCACACAGGTAAAACTGCATTTGTGGGTCCTGCAGGTAAGATTGGATAAAACTCCTCAGAGCAGCCACTGAAAAACAGAGAAACATCATGCTAACATCTGCAGTCTCATGTTAAGACACTATATATATATATAAATATATATATATATATATACACACACAACAAAATATAACAACACAAAATAAGGAAAAATAAAAACAATAAAATACAAACAATATTTAATAAATATTTTCTGTTACCTGTTTCTAGAGGTCTGAAGAAGCCCTGAAGAACGTGGCGGTCAGGAAACTGGACCCTCAGCGCCACCTGATGAACACAGTGACGAATCAACTGAGTGAATCCAGTCACATGACCGATCACATGATCAGACTCACCTTCGGATACCTGTCCAACTTCTCCTTCATCTGAGACTCTCGCAGAGAGTTAGTCACGAGAGGAGCTTCCTCCAGCGCCTTCCTAAAGCACACCGAGAAGATAGAATTCATCTGAATTACAGTCTGAACTCTACTCTGAACCAAGAGTGTAGGTCCGATTGTTATTTAATGTTCATCCGATCTCATTTTGTAAGTGACTTTTCTTTCTGTGTTAAAGATGTTTTCTTTGGATTGCTTGACGACTCGAAAGAGAATATAAGAAGATAGAACTTAATGTGTGTCTCCTGCTAGCTAAATTATTGCTCTAAATCTGTCTTTTCTTTATTCAGAGTTGATCTAGATGAGTTCATGGAAACTCTCCAGAGTTCTGTGAATCCTAAAGCAGTGAAAACTGCATCTCTATATTCATCCTGTGTGTCTCTTAAATTGAACAAAATACGGTTAATAGAGTTAAACCACAAATTAACCATGCTTTTGCTACACTAACCATAGTTTAACCATGATATTGTAGTAAAACTGTGGTTATACAAAAAAAAGCTACACTTTTACTATAATAAAACCATGGTTAATTCTCTTAAAAGATTTATATTTGTGTATTCTTTCTTTTTTCTTTATGTTTTTATAACTGTGCTGCCTTAATGGTTTGATGTTTTGTACTGTACTGTTTAATAATATAAAAAATTAAATCAGAAAGATCCACGATCCGCACACCAAAATCCCTATCTCAATCAAATGATTCGCGAACCATAATTTCAGATAGGGGCTTAAATTGTAAAATATGATAAGCGAACCTGCTCCGAAGTTCCGATCTGAATCAAATGATTCGCGATCCGATTGGAGCGCTTCGAAACAGTGAATCATTTTGCGGCGCGATGGTTTAACTGATTCTGAGTTTCTAAAAGCTCTGTTTAACCCATCACTATAGGTGCTTTTTAAAGGGGTCATATGATGCTTTTTTAAAGATCATTATTTTGTGTATTACTCCACACATCTATTAGATGTTTTCTAGTGTATTTCTTTAACTTCTCAGGTAATATCAATGGTGTGACCTATTTCAGATGCGGCCGAAATTACAACAACAGTGTTACATACACATATATTTAATTGTGTTATCAAAATTATTGCTAGGCACAATTTAGCAGTCGCTGTATATTGGTAGGGACGTGTCATAGCATCAAGCACTTTCATCAAATAAAATAGAAAATGTTTTATACAAAAATAAATAGATAAATAAATAAATAATTTTATACAACTAAACATACCACAATATAAAGAAAAGAAGAAAATTTGAATTAAAAATAAAATAAACCTAAACCATTTTATACAAATAAACATATCACCACAACAACAAAAAATAAAATATTTCATACTAACTAAAAAAAGATAATAAAATAAAAAAATAAATTTTAAACATTTTATTATATTTATACAGCTAAACATAACACAGCATAAAGAAAAGAACACAAATCGTACAAAACAGAACATTTTTGCGTAGGATTTACTTCCCTCAGAAATTGCTTCAAAAATAATTCAGCTCAAAAACGTACAAAATAATTACAAAGCGGCAAGTAACATCAAATTAAATTAGAATTTTTAAGTAGAAAGACTGAAATAGTATTTGAAATATCTGATTTATTTATAACATTGAAAAATGTTTTTATTCCACAGTGCATGATTATTTACGCATGTAAGACATTTATTTGATTACTGAATTTCCTAAAGTTTTTGAATTTCCAAAACGTTAAAAACACACGTGCTGCACTCGTTAAAAACTCATTAACCACCTCAGGCCGTCACTGAATAGACAGACAGAGAGAGACAGTCTGTCTGCGTCTGCTGCGGGTTTTAATTAGATACGTCAGAACAGTAATTTAGTCTCAATAACTGATGCTCAGAAATGAAACTGTCTGAGGAGTCAGAGGGCAAAGGTCATGATATTTACATGCTTCCCAGAAGACAAAATATAAACAATTTACACTGATCATTCTGATCAAAACTTTATTCTGGACAGTGTTATTTTAGCATCACTGTTGCCTTTCTATCATCTCTAACCAGTCTGCCCATTCTCCTCTGACCTCTGACATCAACAAGGCATTTTTGTCCACACAACTGCCGCTCACTGGATATTTTCTCTTTTTCGGACCATTCTCTGTAAACCCTAGAGATGGTTGTGCGTGAAAATCCCAGTAGATCAGCAGTTTTTGAAATACTCAGACCAGCCTGTCTGGCTCCAACAACCATTCCACGTTCAAGGTCACTTAAATCCCCTTTCTTCCCCATTCTGATGCTCGGTTTGAAAGGCAAGGCAAGATTTTACGTTTAAGCTTTATATTGAATATTATACTTTATTTTATTTCAGCTTTACTTAAGTTGATGAAAATAATTTTTAATAGTTTTTATTAACAATAACAGCACTGTGACCGCAGAAGTGAACTGTGATTGGTCACTTCACATGTCAATCAAACGTGTGTTGTACGTTCTCACCTCTCGCTCTTCAGCTGCGCGAATCTCTTCCGAATGTCGTCAACGGTGACTTCAAAAAACTCGTCAGGAAGTTCTGCGTCGTCATGGTGACGGTCTCCGGAGTCCAGATGGAAGACCAGCGGCTCCCTGTCGACCGGCTGCACAAACACACACGATTCACTGATTCATCACGATTCACGGATTCATCACGATTCACTGATTCATCACGAGTCACTGATTCTTCATGATTCACTGATTCATCACGATTCTTTGATTCATCACGATTCACCGATTCATCAGGAGTCACCGATTCATCAGGAGTCACCGATTCATCACGAGCCACCGATTCATCACGAGTCACCGATTCATCACGAGCCACCGATTCATCACGATTCATCACGAGTCACCGATTCATCACAATTCACCGATTCATGACGATTCACGGATTCATCACGATTCACGGATTCATCAGGAGTCACCGATTCATCAGGAGTCACCGATTCATCAGGAGTCACCGATTCATCAGGAGTCACCGATTCATCGGGAGTCACCGATTCATCACGATTCTGATTCATCACGATTCACTGATTCATCATGAGTCACTGATTCATCACGAATCACTGATTCATCACGATTCACTGATTCATCAGATGAATCAATATAACAGAACACGCAAGGAAAAAAAAAGAATTAAGTGCAAGAAGTTTTATTTCTAATTTTTAAGTATTTTAGCTTTAACCCTAAGCATTAAAATAGCCCCACCTACTGATTAACATATGATTTGCATACAGGTTGACAAGCACAAATGCGAATTGTGAAAAAAGAAAACGGAAAATACAAAATGAAAATTAAATTGAATTGTCACTATTATTACACATTATTAACTCGCATTGTAAACAATGTATCTATAATCTATTTTTCACTTTATTATTTTGAAAGTCTTGCATGTAGAACCAATTCGACAGGGACGATGCACTGCCATCATGAAAATTAAATTAAAATAATTTAATATGATTTTCATTTTTGGCACATATTTTCAGGCTTTACTTTTTGATCATTTAAATCATTTATTTAAAATGAGCAGAAAACTATTATTAAATAGACTAACTGCACCTGAAACTCACAGCATTGTATATTTAATTTGTATCTTTTTTATTTGTCCGAATGTTTATCTGCATTTTTGTGCACATTTTTAACAACAAAGATAAAAAAGCAAAAATATACTGTTTGCAATATAAAGATGAATTATACTGTGATATATCTATATCATTATCATGAAATAAATTCACTCATATTGCGAAATAAGGTTTTGGTCATATCGCCCAGCCTTAATATGAATTAATACATAAATAACTAACAAAAAAACAAAAAACTGCAAGGATCGGACGTATTGATGAAATATCATAAGAAAGAGAATGGCTATATAAGTGTGTTTTTACCTCCAGAAATTCGTCTGTTTCCTCTTCATCCCTCGTCACTTGTTTGGCACTGACTGATCGCTGAAACATGCAAGAAACATCCACAAACTCTTCAGTCTGAGAGACAGCGAACACCAGACGACTACAAAATGCACCAGCTACGAAGAAAAAAGCGTGTGTTGGTGTTTGTGTGATTGAATCTAAACACGGTGATGCATGCTTGAACTCAGACACAACAAAAACACAGTGTCCATTTCTCAGAGAAATCAACAACGGAGCAGATGAACACAAAACACGTGAGAAGATTTTCCATGAAAAAGACGTTTAAAAGTTTGGAATGATTAGGATTTTGTCTTCTGCTCAACAAGGATGAATTTATTTGATCAAAAATAAAAACATTCAAAATTATGAAATATTATTATAATGTAAAACAGCTGTTTTCTGTGTGAATATCTGTTAAACTGTAATGTTTTTCTGTGATGCGCAGCTGTATTTTCAGCATCATTACTCCAGTCTTCAGTGTCACATGATCTTCAGAAATCATTCTAATATGCTGATTTGCTGCTCAACAAACATTTCTGATTATTATCAATGTTTTAAAAAAATATATTTTATGGGAAACGTTATAGGCTACCATTCAAAAGTTTGGAGTGAATAGGATAAAAAAAAACGTATTCATCAAGAATGCATTTGTTTGATGATTAGATTAATTTATATAATTCAGCACTAATTGAAAATAATTTAACTTAAGTCATTTTCTCTCTAATTCTGTTTAGATACTGCTTCAGTTTTTTAGTTTTTATTTTCCTCCTGCTTTTATCTTAGTTAAAATATTTTTCTTAAAAACATTAAAAATTACAAAAAAATAAACAAAAATTAAAAACGAAAACATAAATATAAAAGCTAATACAGAATAATAAATAAAAAATATAATAGTATATAAATATACTATTATGCAAATATATGTACTATGTATAGAGAATGAGGAGTTACGTCACGATCTTCTGCATTTCGGGAAAGCGCCGCCATATTAACGAGATGCGCTATCCGTCCCCATGGTTACTTCTCATTCTCTATAAGGATAACTGCTTACCTTTTGTTTTGTTTTTGCCTTTAAGTTAAACAATCATTCATTCTTCATTGTATCGTTTGCAGGGAAGAGAAGCTATTTTATCGCACTGCATGATAATTTGATTTTTTTCTCTTAGGTTCTGTAGAATTTGGTTTACATTGTTTACCTGATTAGCGTGAAAACAGTGTCACCCGCTGGACGCTCGCTGCTGCTTCAGCCGTCATATGATAGATTATCCAAATAAAGGTGTGTGTTCAACAAGCTGACAGAAGTCGATCCATTTCTTTGTTGGAAACTTTTAAATGACAAAGTATAATTGTTGTAATTATAAATCCCCGCATTGCATTTCGGGAAGGCGCCGCCATATTAGCAGGATACGCTATCCGTTTCCATGGTTACTTCTCATTCTCTATAAGGATAACTGCTTACCTTTTGTTTTGTTTTTGCCTTTAAGTTAAACAATCATTCATTCTTCATTGTATCACTTGCAGGGAAGAGAAGCTATTTTATCGCACTGCATGATCATTTGATTTTTTTCTCAATTCTCGATGCAGCATGAATGACGTACACTGGTGACATTTTTCACAATCACGACAAACAATCAAATACTGCCCTAAACTCAATAGCGGATAGGCAGCGCTATCCTGCAAGTAACAGAGATTCACATAGAACACCGATATTTAAAATTTTAATAATATTTCACAATTTTACAGTATTTTTTATCAAATAAATGCAGCCTTGGTGTGCAGAAGAGACTTCTTTCAGAAACATCACTTTTGTCTGCCTGTGTGTTTTAAAACGCAATTTATTCCCGTGATGAAAAAGACAAAAAGAAAACAAAATGTGTGACAGCAAATGAAGAAACGGGAAGTAAACAGACCTTGATTTCATGGCTGGGTTTGGGTTTCTTGGCTTTCGGTGGGCTGCCGGACACACATGACGACCATGACGTGGACGTCTTCAGTCCAGCAGTTCCTCCCAGACGCTGTCCGCTCCCCGAAAATGGCACAAAGTCAGTGGGCGTGGCTGAGGGGGCGGAGCCATGGCACTGTTGGGACGTCCCAGGTCGCTCGTCATCCTCCTGTGGCATTAGTTTGGCCTGCGGAGGTTGGTCAGTTTTGGGCCACACCCCCTGCTCTCGGCTCGAGCTTGGCTCCTCCTCTTCCTGTTTGACAGGATGATGGTTCGGCGGGGCAGCGACCTCAGTGGGAGGAGCTGGGGTTTCCATGGGAACGGGGGCGGGCTCCTCGGGTGGTACTGGAAGCGGTTGTGATACGGTTGTCTTGGCGACATCATCCGTTGGCATAGCGACCGCATCCACGGATGCAGCAGGACACGAGGAGCCAGAGCCTTTCAGCACATAACTAATGAACAGAAACGCCATCGTTATCATCATCATAATCACGTGATGTTACCGCTGAGACAAACAGCTCACCGTATGATGGCACTTCCTCCGGTGAGACCCAGAGACTTCAGAGTCGTCTTCTTCAGCGCATCCTCACCGCTGACCTACACAACAACAGCAAGACATGATGAAACTGCAATTTAAAGGGCATCTATTATGCAAAATTCACTTTTACATGTTGTTTGAACATAAATGTGTGTTGGCAGTGTGTACACAACCACCCTATAATGATAAAAATCCAGCCGTCCTTTTTTTTTAAATCCCCATAAATCATAAATAGTGTCTCAGAACAAGCCATTCCCAGAATCTGTACAATGTGATGTCACATTACACAAGCCCCGCCCACGATTGTTGACGGACACAGCCGTATTAGCAGAGACCCCGCCCTGAGTGAGCCGCACACAAAGTCTTCTTAAAGCTACAGATGTTATTCAGTCCAGAGCAGTGAGTGATTTTGTGTTTTATTTTATTGTTTGGCTCACATTAACAGCGTAGACAGCGGTTTAACTTCACAGACATAACCGACTGTGTTTTTGTAACTTATGCGTGTTTTTAACAAACTTGTGTGTATTTGACCGTTAAAGCGCAATAAGATGTGAAAGAGAACTTAGTTTAGTACTCAAATGCCGTGTGTCAGCCGCTTTCTGTGCGTTCAGAAAACCGGATATCAGAACTTTAAACTGATATGGCTTTAAAATGCATTATTTCAGTGCAATAGACATGATAATCAAAACCTCTCACCTCGTCTCTCATGTAAACACACACTGGCGTGGGTCCAGACGTGTCCAGATCAGTCCTGTGAGGAGGAAACACATCACAATATCTGTCAGGAGAGAACAAACAAGCACACTTGTACACAAACATCTATGAATTTTTCATGCTGCAATGGTTTCTGCAAGCCTTTTGACACTAATATAACTTCATAGATTATTTAGCAGAAAGTGTTTTGACACCTGATAGAACTCTATACATATTAAACTGTTTGTTTTTAAATGGCTATATCTAAGAAAAACTAAATGATGTGTATTTTAAGGGTCTTAAAGCTTTTGCAAAGTTTAATTGGCTTACTAAAAACTATGCAGTTTTTTAGAAATGTTTATTTATCTTCTGTCGAAACGGACCGGAACGCATTATGAGGATTAAAGCGTTTGGCAGCGGCGCTGAGCGCTCGTAAAACGGCCCGCGAGCCTCAGTTCACACGATCTGGCTGCATTTATAAAACACAGCGGGGAACTGGATTCTGCTGGAGAGGAATGTGTTTTACTTCAATCAATAGAGTCAGAAAGAACACACACATTTCACATATAAACGACATACTCAGAAATGAATCAGCTGCAGCTTTCTCTCACTGAACAACACACACCTGGTTTGAGGAAAGTGAGTCAGTAGATCCCATAACGTCTGTCCACTCGAGAAAGAGCCTTGAAGACGAGAGCCGTCCTCCATCTGCAGCGCGATCCGCACCTGAACCAAAACACAAACATGTTATTAAGACACACTAGCATTCAAAATGTTTCTCTTCTGCTCATCAAGGCTGCATTTATTTGATCAAAAACACATTAAAAATTGAGAAATATTATTATAATGTAAAACAGCTGTTTTCTGTGTGGATAGCTGTTAAACTGTAATTTATTTCTGTGATGTGCAGCTGTATTTTCAGCATCATTCCTCCAGTCTTCAGTGTCACATGATCTTCAGAAATCATTCTAATATGCTGATTTGCTGCTCAAGAAACATTTCTGATTATTATCAATGTTGAACACAGTTGTGCTGCACAATATTTTTGTGGAAGCTGTGATACATTTCATTTTTCAGGATTCACAGATGAATAGAAAGTTCAGAAGAACAGCATTTATTTGAAATAGAAATCTTTTGTAACATTATATATGTCTTTACTGTCACTTTTGATCAATTTAATGAATCCCTGGTGAATAAAAATATTAATTATTTTATTTATTTATTTATTTTTTTTAATCATGGTATATATATTTTTGAGAAAACATATATTTAACTAAAATAAAAGCAGGAGGAGAATTAATAAAAAAATATAAATATAAAAAAATTAATTGAAGCAAAATATAAACAGAATTAGAGATAAAATGACTTCAGTTTAGAAAGGAAGTACTCTGAGGTCATCAACCAAGTAGAATATTTATATAATATTATAGTTTTTATTCACTTTGAATTGGCTTTTTTCATTTTAGTTTTAAATTTTACAATTTTCTTTTAAAGCTAATTCAATTCATGTATTCAGCACTACATAATACTCTTTTGTTGTTTTGATGACTGACTTCTTCAAGATTCTTCAAAAATCGGTTAAAAACACATCTCTTCCATCTTTATTTGACCCTCTAACTCTAGCACTCTCTATTCTAATTCTATTCTTTAAAAAAAAAAACTTGCCCCTTTTAGACTTGCACTCTATTTATTTACTAATGGCTTGTTTTCTTTAAAAAAAAAAAACGTAACACTAGCTTCTCTATTCTTTTTGTATTCTATCTATTTGTTTTCTTTTTATTTATTAAAAAGCCCTTGCTACGTGTACTGAGTTAAGCTAACTGAGACTTGTTATAGCACTTGCATATCATTGCTCTTTTGTTGGTTTTGATTGCTTCCATTGTCGCTTTGGATAAAAGCGTCTGCTAAATAACTAAATGTAAATGTCTGTTGAGTTCACAGGAAGTACTGTATGACATCAGAGCTCAGGCTCGATGACATCATCAGCTCCGCCGAGTTACGCAGTTAAACACGCAACACGAGCCGTTTTACAGGACTGTGTTTATAATGGCGAGAGACAGCGAGAGGAGCGTTGGTGTGTTTGTAGCTGGATGAAAGGGAAATGAAAATCACGCTCTCGTTTGATTGAGAGATCAAGGAGAATGCGATTAATGAGCGGGCTGCTCGTAAAGCATGATGGGTAAACCACGGTCCTGCGGCCGCTCTCGCTCATGCTTTAGGCATGTGGAGCTGGGTGTGTGTGTGTGTGTGTGTGAGTGAGTGTGTGTGTGAGTGTGAGCGATTTTCAGGTTTTATCTCTTATGAAATTATTTTGGATCCGAAGGAGAGTTTGGGTTATTATTTACCGCACGCTTGTGAGGCTTTGAAACACATTCAAGAGTTTTAAGACCGTTTGGATCTGACTCTTATTTCTTTCATGTTGATAACTGCATTGTTATTGTGGTGTTGACTTCTGATTTTCATAAAAGTACAAAAAATGAACTCGCTGTTTTACTGGGCAGTTGAGAGGTCGACAAATTAAAAATAAACTATTTAAAAATATTTTTAAGAAACAAAAAAATGACAAAAGCACATAAAAATGACAAAAAAGAAATATGAAACATAAAAATAAAAGCAAATACAAAAAAAATTATATTAGTACATATATTATTATATATACAGTATACATATATGTAATAGTATATGTGCTATTTTTGTGCATACTTATAAAAGTAAAATAAAATGAACTATTTAGAATTTTTCAAGAAACAAAAACAAAAAAAGATGAAAGCACATAAAAATTACAAAAACTAAAAAACTAAAATGAAAAGTGAAAATATAAAAGCTAATTCCAAAAAAATATAAAAGCTAATTCCACTGCTTCCAAAAAAAATGTATAAAAACTACAATAGTACATAAATATAATATTTTGCTTCAGTTGTTGTGCATACTTACAAAACTAAAACTGGCATAAAAAAAAAACATTAGTATATTTTCAAGAAGCAAAAACACATATAAAATGACAAAAAAATAAACTGAAAATATAAAAATAAAAGCTAATTAAAAATAATAAAAACTATAACAGTTTATAAATATACTATTTTGCTTCAGTTGTTGTACATACTCATAAAACTAAAATCGAAATAAAAATAAATATTTTCAGAATTAAAAAAAAAAACAAAAACCAAAAACATGAAAGCACATAAAAATACAAAAATTTAAATTCAACATCATAAAGTTTAGGATTTATGATTAAGATCATATTTCTTATTTCATTTAGTTTAACCTAGTATTAAAATAACTTAAACTAATAAACTAAAACATATATATATAACAAAATCTAATAAAAATGCTAAAAACACAAAATTACTAAATCTGTAACTAAAAGTAAAGCGAAGACACAAAATATAAAAATAAAATCAAGTCAAAATATAAACAAAATCTATAATATAAAACTATAACTGAATCAAATTTAACTAAACTGATCTAAATAATGACTTTATTTTCTTTTTGGAGCTGCTTTACGGCAAAAAAAAAAAAAGACTTATTTTTTATAATGATTAAACTTTACACAGATATTGCACCAATTTTTTTTTTAGCTTTTAAAGCTGCTTTTTAGCTGAAATTAAATTTGGTTTTTTTAAATTTTTTATAATGAATGAACTTATTGAACTGAATTTGAATCAAAATGAACTAAATTGATCTTGTCTTTTTAGAGCTGCTTTATAGCAGAAATTTAACTTGTTTTTTTTTTCCAGTGAATGAAGGCAGTTATTGAACCAAATCAGAAACTCAACTTTATTTTTTATAATGAATGAACTTTACAGAGTTATTGAACTGAATTGAATCAACATTGAACTAAACTGATCTGAGTAATGATTCTATTGTCTTTTTAGAACCGCTTTACATCTGAAATTGAACTTGTTTTTTTTTTTATAATGAATGAACTTTACAGAGTTACTGAACTGAATCTGAATCAAAATGAACTAAACTGGTTTGAGTAATGACTCTATTGTCTTTTTAGAGCTGCCTTACAGCTGAACTTAAAACAGTTATTGAACTGAATAGATTTGAGTATTGACTGAAATCATATTTTATGTAGTTTGCATCCCTGATTTTTCTGATATTTTCCTGTCAATGACTGTGAATTGGCTGTGAAGCGATCTGCATGGCATAAAGCGCTGCAGAAATAAATGTGAACAGCCTGAGATGAACCTACAGCGTTTTCTGAAGGTTAAACGGCTCCTTTCATTGATTCTTCATAAAAACAGAAAGGTTCGGCTTGATTTTTAAGCGCTTCCAGCCCTGTTTTGGGGGGAAGTGGTGAGGGACTGAATGTGTGTGTGTTCAGAAATAGAGCAGAAATACAGGTTTTGAAGTGAGGAATCAAACGAGCTGCTGATTATTACCAGAGATCATTAAACTCCCTGATCACTGACAGACAACGCATCATTTCTCAGATGTTTACTAAACTCTTATGTAACGTTCACAGCGCCTGCGGTTAGTTTTAGTCCTGTGTCATATTCATTCAAGCTGTCCTGTTTAAGTTGACTGAAAGTCTGGGAAATTTAGTCTAATTTTAGTCAATTAAAACTTACAATTTTAGTCATACTGCATAATGGATAAACTGATAATCACAATTATTTTGCACAAAATTACTGATCATGATTGCTGTCATTTGAACTATTGCACTTGCTTTTATTTAAATTTTTGCTTTTAATTTTTTTAATTAGTTTATTGTAATACATCAAATTAAACTACATGAAAATGAGAAATAATTCCTTTGAGAACGAGCTGAATTGCAATAAGCTTAATTTTTTTCAGTTAACATTATTATTATTTTATATGATTTAATATATATTATATTATTATATAACTAGATTGAAAAGTTTGTAGACAAACTTTAAGTTGGCTTGAAAAAGCCTAGCTAGAAAGTTTGATAACGTTTTAAAAGCTTGCAGTTGGAAGGTTTTCAGTTTGAAGTAGTTTGAAAGTTAAAATAGTTTTAAAGATTAAAGTCTGAATGTTTTCAAGGCAATACAGTCTATCAGAAAAATAGATAGGTTTAAAACATATTGCTAGGATACCTGGGGTGGTTGCTAGGCTGTTTGTAGCATGACTACCATGTTGCTAACATGTTTTTAGCATGATTAGCATGTTACTAGCATTTTTCTAACATGGTTAACATGTTGCTAACATGATTAGCAAGTTACTAGCATGTTGTTAGCATAATTAGCAAGTTACTAACATGTTTCTAGCATGATTACCATGTTACTAGCATGGTGTTAACATTTTGTTAGCATGGTTAGCAAGTTACTAGCATGTTTCTAGCATGATTCGTATGTTACTAGCATGTTGTTAACATGATTAGCAAGTTACTAACATGTTGTTAGCATGATTAGCAAGATACTAGCTTGTTGTTAACATGATAAGCATGTTACTAGCATGACGCTAGCATTTTTTGAACATGTTTAGCAAGTTACTAGCGGTGTGCTTCCCCTTTTTGGGGATTGTCGCTTATTGTGACGAATAGCAGAGCAAGCAGTGAGGGTTCTGTCTCGAGGGGAAGTCGTGGCCTAGTGGTTAGAGAGTTGGACTTGTAACCCAAAGGTTGTGGGTTCGAGTCTCGTACCGGCAGGGATTGTAGGTGGGGGGAGTGAATGTACAGCGCTCTCTCCCACCTTCAATACCACGACTGAGGTGCCCTTGAGCAAGGCACCGAACCCCCAACTGCTCCCCGGGCGCCGCAGCATAAATGGCTGCCCACTGCTCCGGGTGTGTGTTCACGGTGTGTGTGTGTTCACTGCTGTGTGTGTGCACTTTGGATGGGTTAAATGCAGAGCACTAATTCCGAGTATGGGTCACCATACTTGGCCTCACGTCACTTTCACTTTAATATGTTGGTTCTTAAGCATTTCTTTTGCAATATTTATTTTTAAGACCCAATATGGTTCACTTCCAGAGATATGGGGATTTCACTGTGGTTCCAGGAGTTAATTGTTATTACACACATTTTTAGTGCTCATTCTGTGTCAGTTCTGGTTAAAGCAGCCAAACTAAATCACTTCATTTGATGAAGTTTCACTGGCGTATAAACATGCAGACACACACCGCGCTCTCAGCTCCCGTCTGCGGCCGCGAACACACCACCATCTCCAGCTTGGCATTATTCGGCAGACTGGCAAAACGCCACTGCAGAGACAAATCTAGAACGAGCCTCTGAAACCTGCAGACAAAGAGAGACAGAGACAATGAGCCGCCAGACACACACACACACACACACTCACACACACACACAGGTTTGTTTTTATGGTTTATGGGGACTCTCCATAGGCGTAATGGTTTTTATACTGTACAAACCGTATTTTCTATTGCCCTACACC